TGAGTCAGTGTGTAGTCTACTTGAGACACATGTCAAGACACATGTCAACCAATCAAATGTGATTAACACTTGATTATTTCTATAACACAACAGTTTTAGACTAGAGCTTAGATTTAAATTTTAAGTGCTATTGATTTAGGACTAGGATTTATATTTGAAGTTATGGTGTTGTTGGTTTAGGACTATGATTTGGATTTGAATTTAACAAGTTATTGGTTTAGGACTAGGAATTGGATTTGAATTTAAGGTGTTATTAGTTGTGTATGATTGCTATTAGGACTAGGATTTCAAAATCCACACTCCTGGACTCTATAGTTTTTAATAAGAAAAATTTAAGAGAAAGTCCAAGTTAAAATTGGTTGATTATGATCTCACTCTATGGATTTTCTCTCTCCTCTTCTCTTTACTTATTTAAATATTTAATATATTTCAAATTAAGTATATTTAATTTTAAAATATTATTTATTCCTATGTTTTTTATATATTAACATTGAATATATTTAATTTTAAAATATTTGTAATAAACTTCTTTTCTATTCGATTCATAAACTTCTTTTCTATTCGATTAATAAACTTCTTTTCTATTCGATTCATTTAAAATAAAATATATTTAATACAATTTAATCACTTAATATATTTAATAGGTAACATTAAATTAGATATATTTATTGTTTATAATTTGTTAAATATATAAATATTTTAAATATTTGATATTATATTACACTCATTTCAAACTTTTATTTAAATGTTAGAAGTGAAATATATTAAATTCATAAATATTAAATATATGTTATATTGAAAACTTTAATGTAGTAAATAATAAAAATATTTAATATTTAATATTTAATCATTTGAATACTTGACGTCAAATGTTTGATATATGTTTTTAATATATTTAATATTTATATATTTAAATTAGTTTTCATATGATCGAACACTACTTATTTTCTTTTATGAACATGAGCACTAGTTATTTTCATTTATGTGATTGCACCAGGTACCTTCTGTTATATGCCATCATCTAACTGCTTAAATATATTACAAGATGTATTTAGTTTTATCATTACCATTTGTTAATAAAATTGAGGGTGATTTTCCAAATCAATGTTTAATTTTTTATGAACAATTATTACTTAACATGATAATTTACTTTGAAACTCCCAAACTCAAATAATTCATGAATCTAAAATTTAGTTTGAGAATCTGATCCTCAATCTATGAATCCAAAGCAAAAGTTCAAGAATGAAAACAAAACGATTAAGAAGTCTACTCAAAAAAACCAAAAATCCAATCCAAGAGTATATGGCTCTAATAAAAAATCAGAGTTCATGTCCCAATCCAATAATGCCAAAACAATTCTTCGAGTCCAAATCAATACTCCAGAATGAATAATATCTCCTAAGGGTCAGTTTGGCAAAACCTTTAAAACTAGGCCAAAATTGATGCTGACATTGTTTAATACAAAATTGGGCTAAAGTCATTCAAT